CTTTGCTTCAGAGACCAAATTTAAAACTAATGACGGAACAACTGAAAAAAAGTTATCGTAGTTTTTGAGAATTGGGTTGCGTTTTGGATCAGATTCAAAAATTAAGGTGGGGAATTTGTTTATATTTCATTATATGTTCCTATTTTAATAATCATATCTAATTGCAAATTAAGGAACCAAATGTCATAGACTATGTGTTCGCATTTGTATGAGGTCCTGAACTTGGATTAGTTTTACTAGTATATAATCCAAAATATATGTATAGGACCGATATAATAGGTGACGTCTACTGTACTTTAAATCAATACCAAGAAAAATGTACGAGAAGTTCACTAAACAGCTTAACGTAGTCTACGTCAACCATGCGACCGCACCGATTTTTTTATGATCACTTTTTTTACTGAATAAAAATTCAAGAATTTGTGAACAGTAAGCCACAACAAATGTAAAATGGCAATTTGAGAGCAATATTTGTGAAGTAATGTGAATACATTTTATGGATCTTAATGAAGCCTTTGGCCAAAAAATACGTGGCACCACTGGTTTGTGGTGCCACGTATTTTTGGCCAAAGGTTTCATTAAGATCCATCAAATGTCTTCACATTACTTTACAACTTGTCCGACTGAATATTTCAAATTTGTAGAAAATAATGACACTATTTCAAAGAATTTACTAAACCATGGTGTACTCAGGCCATTTAAAACATTCTCAGGGTATTTTCAATATCAATTTCCAAGCAATAATATACTCAAAACGCTAAACTAATTTCTCAGGAATTTTTAATGTTACATAATGCAATCAACTTTATCTTTCTTGTGGGTTTCTTTAACTCATTAAACTTAAAAATTTCGAAGCGTATTGAGGTTTAGCAAAATAAAATAAAAATCTTGGGCTATATTTCAAAATTCCATATTTTTACAATCTCTCTTAATTATACGAAGATCTTTGAGCATCTGTGCCCTTTTGGAGAGTAACCTATCATCTACAAATATTCCTGAACATCTGGAAAGCTCCTTGAAATTAAACGAAGTTCCCAAAACCCCCAAGAAGTTGATGGAGCTTTTTCGAAGTAAAATCTTTGGCAAACTGCAACAAAGTTCCCTAAACTGTAGTTTATTGAACTGCTTTTTGATTTTCTACAAAATTCCCTGAATTTTTTCAAAATTCCTTACATTTATATAAAGTTTTAAGCAGCTCCTCAAAATGCTAGAAAATTCACATAACACCTGAAAAGTTTGCTGCACTTCTACGTTTTTCGTTGATTTTCCGCGAAGTTCCCCGAACGAAATTTCTTGAATTTGTACGCAATTTCCACAACTATTCCAAGTTCACGTGACTTCAAAAAAGTGCCCTGATATAGAGGTTCCCGATCAATAATGAGCTTCACTGAAATAAAAAAAAATCCCCTAACCTCTACGAAGCTTCTCAAACTTGAATAAATTTTCCACTTTTACGCAGTTTTCAGAACTTTTCGAAACTCCTTGATTCTAAGAATGTTTCTGAAGATCTATGAAGTTCCCAGAATTTCTAATAAGTTTCTTCAATTTCTACGATGTTCCTTGAACTTCTTAGAAGTCCTTGAAGTTTCACGAAGTTCCCAGAAGTTTAAGAAAAATCCCTGGGCTCATGGCCAATTTGTAGAGCCTGAAGACGTCTTAATATGCCATAGATTAAGTACCGATCTAATATAATTTCTCAAAATTGCTTCTTTTGGTCCAAAACATAAGAAAATTTGTCAATTTAAAAGACTTTACAAAATAGTAACATCGGTGAATAAAAAAAAAAACACCAAAAATTGGCACCCCCATTAGCTACGCCAATGGCAAATACTGAATTTAAAAGGTAGCGAATGTATAAGCAGATCATTGAATGTTAATGATTTAGGAAAACTAGCAAAATACCACAAACATTGCGTCAATCGGCTTCCAATCTATCAAATCGTTTGAACCTTCAATGACTCTACATCATTCGATCTACTGTTCACCAAAAATGTTAGATCAGACGAATTTGAAATTTAAATTGAAAACGGAATGATAGTACAATCGAATTTGCATAGCGAATTTAATCTCCAAAGAAGAATGCGAGGATGACGGCATTCCGCACAGAATTTATAAAAAACAAAATCGACTCCATTACCGGAAAAGGAATAATCAAACCATAGAATGAGAATTATAATCACAATCTTAATTAATTCAACCCGGCATCCAAAAAGCCAAAAATCTTCCAAAAAACCAGAATGTTTTCCACTGACCGAAACTGGTTTCAAAGTTCATTCGCGCGTCAACCGGATCGAACAGCATTCTTTTTAATACTGTTTCAAGTTGCTGTGTTTTTTTTCCTTGATTTGTTTTCCGTCGATCTTGTTTTCCGTGGTGAGCACCAATGCTACCGATGCCAGTGAGGCAGCTGCCACACCTGGACCCTACCTATCGACCCATCAACTCGTGAACCGGGGACCAACGGCTTTACTTCCCTAGCGAAGGAAGACGTGATCAGAGATGTTATGCCTCAGCTGCGTCGATTGGGATTGAACCCAGGCCTTGCCTTAAAAAAATCCCAATAAAATGATCTCCTCATCAAACGGGTTTTTTTCAATAGCTGTGAGTGTACCGGGCTAAAGCTTAGCTAGAACCAGTCCCGTCTAGAAGTGCGTGCGTGTGTGGCTTTTTTGTGTCAAGGATCCAAGCGGCGCGGTCGATCGAGAAGTGTCACGCCAACTAAAACAAGAGGGTGGGTCTTGGGAATTCTCGCTCAACTCAGGGTGGCTGCCAAATGAAAAGCAAAAGTTCACGACCACCCCAGTCAAGCAACAGGCCAAGCTACTTTGTTGTAACAGTGTTGAACTTGAACTTGACACCGGTAAAAGCGTGAAGCGTGTGCCGCCCGTGCCGCCGTGAGACGTCTCTCTGCATTGTGTGCATAACCCATTGTAAGCAACTTGGCGAGAAGACAGCCGCGATGAGCCGTGGACGATTTTTTGGACCAAGGGAACTACATTTTAACTCAGACAAAGGTGCTAATGTAATCAGAGGTGCCTCGATGAGCAAACTAGAAATCCTCCGGTTGCCGATCGCGACTTGACCATGACTCATTGAGGAACACGATGAACACACAAAATTAGCATTCACCGGCAGTGGCCGGTTTGATCGGTTTCCAACGGCTTATTTATGTTTATGTTTTCGTTTCGTTTGCTTTCGCACGGAAGGGATTGGACAAGTTGAACGACACCCCTCCCGATAGGGTATGGTGGGTGACGGCGATGTGTCGGTGTATGTTCTCTGCTGGAACCGGCTTCGAAACGCTGGCACTGCAAGGTCGTTCTATCGGATAGTTTTACTACACTGTTTTTAAAATTCACCTCGTGAAGCATATCGGACGTAAACAAACTGACCTTAAGGTTTGTTGAATTGGTAATGCGGTAGAACGGATTTATTATTCGGACTAAAAAGCCGACAGTTCTTGTCTGAAACCACTGTTGGCTGGTCAGATTGGCACAAAATATGCAACACAGGGTGGATTCGAAACTTCGCCAAATTTGAACAAATTCGGTTACGATCTGGATTTCCGTGGAGCTTGTCAAAATTTAAAAAATCGCTCAGTTTTTAGTAACCCTGGGATTTAGATGTAAAAAAAATTATACAGAATACCAATTTTTACGAATTACTGAGAGCCACTTATATCGTTTTGTTATGGAATGGATGAATAAGTCTCTATGTATATGATATTCATATGAAGTGCCCAGGACTAGTCATGTTCTAGGAACCCCGGAAGGAATTGAAACGGAGACAAATGAAAACAAATCCTAGGGCCTACTTTTTCTCAAGATAATATTATCTGTTTCTTTGGTAACAAAACACGCCGAAAACGACGCAGAAATCATCGCCATAAAAATTCCTATGGCGACGATTTCTGCGTCGTTTTCGGCGTGTTTTGTTACCAAAGAAACAGATAATATCAAAAACGAGATTGTCCTGGGCGACAAAGGTTCTATACACCTGCCCGGTGGATCAATATGGGTTTTTACGGAGGTAAATGGGTTTAAAGATTTTAAATCCCACTACCCTTTAACAAATGGTTTAGGTCATATTTCCGGGGAAAATTGGAATATTAAAAATGTCGATTACAGGTGTCCGGAAGCAAACATTTCATGGAACATATCCTGAAAATCTCGTATTTTAGCGTCCCCTCCCTAAACCTGACATTCTCCCACGATTTACGATCTACAATAATTATACAGCAATTAATATATACTTCTATCGCGGCATTTTATTCACTCCCATCGATTCAAATTCTAATCATTAATGCACATTGCAGCACGCTGAATCAAACGTCAATCGTAGCTGCTTTCTCACAGTCATCATCTTTTAAATATTCACAACAAAATGTTGCAAGCGTCAATCATGAATCACTTCCTGTGTAGTAATTCTGCATCTGCTATGTAGAAAGCAGAAAACAAATAAAAACCACAAAGGCGACAACGCACTTACTGAGTCTTCTTTCGATACGATTCGATTAAACTCTGCTCCCACCGAGGGAGAGCGTGGCCATGAACCAACCGTACGCTTTGTCAAGGTTCAACGAATCAACCGAAGGGCTTGTAGATTAATTGCAGCGGATGCCGGACAACAGCATGCGCATAAGTTTACGGTACATTCAGCAGCAGAGCCCTTCAATCATTGCTCAATATGGTCTGCAGCACGAGAGCCCAAGTGCTGCAACTGCAAGTGTAATTGATTTCAACCAAGTTAGCTGAAGCCACAAACGTGCAGAATGCGAATCGGTTGATTTCTTATGGCCACTAATTGAAAACTTCAATGACTAATTCCTAGTTCAACCAACCAGTCGTACTTGATTCTATGTGTCTATTAGCCATATAAATCATAATCCGAATTCCAGCAAGCAAATGAAATCCTTGATACAGAAGAAATCCATGAACCGCCTCAACGAACTCTATTACCACTATTAAACTTTAATTACATTGAACAATTTCTGCACTTACCATCGTCAAAGACTGGATCTAGCTTGATGCATTCGCTGCTCATTTCGTAGTACTTTTTCAAGGCAGCCTTTATCACTTTGGCCACATCGGCTCCGTACTCACCAACGGCGATCTCCATCACTGTTGGAATCAAAAACCACCCCATTAGAATCTCCAGTCCAATCTGCTGCCATGGTTTGAAATACTTACTGAAATCCGCTGGATTGTGGTAACTTGGGCAGTTATATCCTAGATTAGATAGGAATGGTAACAGTTCTTTCGCTGGGCCCTGATAGAAACAGTGACCCTGGGTAACGGTGTACAGTTTGTCGAACATTTCAAACAGCAACGCACTGGGTGTATGGATCGTACACACTATCGTCCGACCGTCTTGGACCAACCTTTTGAGCAAAGAAATACACTGCGTGCAGGACGAACTGTCCAATCCGGTGGTCGGTTCGTCCAGGAACAGTATCGGTGGGTTGCTGATCATCTCCAGCGCGATCGCGAGCCGTTTCTTCTGTCCTCCCGATAGGCCGTGGGTGGGTGTGTTGCCCTGATGCTCCAGTCCCAGCATGAACAGGATCTTCTCGATCAGTTTCTGCTTCTCTTCGTGACTTATGCTAAAGCCCAGCTTCAGGTGGGTGGCACAGCTCATGGCTTCGTTGACCGTTAGCCAGGGACGGAGGGCATCGTGCTGTTGGATGTAGCAGGACAGCTTCTTGAAGCTTTGTGAATTATGCGAACGGTTTTTGCCATTCACCTGGACCAACCCGCTGACGCCGGAGGATCTGGTTGAGGGATGAGGATGGTAAGAATAAATGGAATCAATTTGAGGGAAATTGTTCGATTGAATACAAAAGAAAGGAGAAAGATAGATTTATAAAAATAATAATAATAAACCAGTGCAATCCTGGGAAGGAGCCTGGGATTGAACCCACGATTTTCTGTTCAGTAAGCAAAAGCGGTCACAGTTTGACCACCGAGCTCGTTATACAGCAGCAAACTATTGCTATCGAAGATCGTTTATGCCCAACGTCATAAAGTTTATGAAATAAAATGACATCACTGGAAAGAGTTCGCTATTTTTTCGAACCCAGATCAAGCATACACACTTATATATATTCATGTAAATTTAGGTGCTCTGAGAGTGACATATATGAGCGTGAGTTTTTACATAAATTTAGTCAAAAAAGACGCTAAATATGGCTTAATCAAACGTACTTTTCGTAAAGTTCAGTTTCGGAGCACTTCATATCACATGACATTATTGTTTACGTCTCATCTTTTATTTCAAAGATGGATTCCATCACTTGTAAAATTAGTTTTTTTCTAAGTGTTTACGGCATAAAGATTGTACTCGAAAAAAATGCAACACTCTCTTTTGTACACTCAGGTCTTTTTTTACACGGGGGATACGTACCGTGTAAAAAAAAAACCGCGTAAAAAAAAACATGCTTAAATATTTTGAAAAAATCGGATGCCATTCGATTACTTATAGCTTGAAACGGATAATGTGATTGGAATGAAGTCGATAGGTTGTATCGTTGTCGAGAAATCGTTAAAAACGTACCGTGTAAATGGCGAAAAACCGTGTAAAAAGACTTAAGTGTATATAACTTTTTATTGCATGGGTAAAAACTGATGAAATTTTGAGTAAAACTAGTTTAGAGTGTAATATTTACATGTGCAAAATATCGTCACAATCTGTCAAGTGGTTATCGAGATGGCTTCCAAGCAAGAAGTGCTTCGACAAAAAATTATGGGAGCGGTCGTGGAAAATCCAGGCCAGTCCCACAGGTGGATCGCAAAACAGTTGGGAATCGACCGTGTCCAGCGACGAGCTGGCAGCGGAAGAAAAACGAAGACGAGTGAACCCGGTGAACGCAAGGAAGGTAAGGAATTACTTCAAGCGCAATCCGAACCTTTCGATTCGGGCCGTGGCCAAGAAGGTCAATTCTTCCGTCTGGTCCATCCAGCAGACAATGAAGTGGGCCGAGCCGATAAACAGAATACGGTGGCCAAATCCCGCGCCAGGAAGCTGTACCGCGAGTGGTTGGTGCAGCCGAAATGCATCGTAATGGACCAGGCTTCCGAAAATCTCACGCGTACACAAATGCGACAGCGAGCTGTGAGACGGAGCGACGCATGACTCTCAAATCCATGGTGTGCTACATTAATTGTACAAAAGAGAGACCAGAACGATGCGCGCGACAAGCAACACGCTCTCAACATATTTGAGCGTTTCAATTTATTTTTGTCTCATCGCATTGCTCATCACATGCGACTGTTTCATTGAAACACCTCAATGCGCTCTCTCAGGGCGCCATCGCCGTGCGCTGTTTCGTATGCCTTGACTCTCGCGGTCCCATCATATGTGATGTTGTCGGGTGACGAGAGAAGAGGCTGCAAGGGTTTGTTCACAGAAGACTTGCGTGCCCTTTTCACACGTGGCTTTTGAAATGAGGTGAAGTTTTTAGATGGTTCCAGAAATATCTTCTAGTATAGATTCAAGCAGGGTCAACACATGGTTCCAGAGATAAAGGGTGATACGGTCAAAATTTGGTCAAGGGAAAACGCGTGTAAATCGGTGAAATCGTTTATTTAAAAAATCAAATTAAATTTCTTTTTCAAGTTCAATTAGTATAAAATTCAGGAAAAATATTCAGTTATTCTTCCGCTTTTCCAAATCCGAATTGCCGGGCCTTACGCTTGACCCCTGCCATCAGATTTTGTACAGCCACCTTGTCCACCTTCTTCGCCGCAGAAAGCCAGTTTGCCTTGAACTGCTGCTCGCCGTTAGCAGTTTTTTTGGTCTTCTTTAGGTTCCGCTTGACAATAGCCCAGTATTTCTCAATTGGGCGGAGCTCTGGCGTGTTGGGAGGGTTCTTGTCCTTGGGAACCACCTGCACGTTGTTGGCGGCGTACCACTTCATGGCCTTTTTACCGTAATGGCAAGATGCCAAATCCAGCCAAAACAGTACGGAACAACCGTGTTTCTTCAGGAAAGGCAGCAGACGTTTATTCAAACACTCTTTCACGTAAATTTCTTGGTTGACAGTCCCGGAAGCTATGAAAATGCTGCTTTTCAAGCCACAGGTACAGATGGCTTGCCAAACCAGATATTTCTTTGCGAACTTTGACAGTTTCATGTGCTTGAAAACATCTGCTACCTTTCCCCTTCCTTTTGCCGTATAAAACTCCTGTCCCGGAAGCTGCTTGTAGTCGGCTTTGACGTAGGTTTCGTCGTCCATTACCACGCAGTCAAACTTCGTCAGCATCGTCGTGTACAGCCTCCGGGATCGTGCTTTGGCCGTCGTATTTTGTTTATCATCGCGATTTGGAGTCACTACCTTCTTGTAAGTCGATAGTCCGGCTCGTTTTTTGGCTCGATGCACGGTTGTAGACGATACACCCAGCTTATTTGCGGCATCTCGGAGAGAGAGGTTAGGGTTTCGCTTGAAACTACCGGCAACTCTCTTTGTCGTCTCAGCGGCTTCCGGTTTTCGATTTCCCCCCGATCCAGACTTCCTGGCTGTCGACAAACGTTCCCCAAACACTTTAATTACATTTGTAACGGTTGATTTGGCAACTTTTAGCGATTTTGCCAACTTTGCGTGCGAGTAGCTCGGATTTTCGCAATGCGCGAGCAAAATTTTGATACGCTGCTCTTCTTGCTTGGACAGCATTTTGACAACTGAAGAGTGAATTCCAAAATCAAAATAGGAGCAACATTCTACACACACACACCTTCAAAATGAGGGGTGTTCAGGTTTTTTAAATGCAAAATTGAAAGAAATACGTCAAGTTGATATTGACCAAATTTTGACCGTATCACCCTTTAGATTCAAGCAGGCTCAACACATGGTTCCAGAGATATACTGGAATCACCGTAAGATCACCACTCATGCTCCTAGGAAGACGCAATTGCTTGTCGAAAGGATGCTAAAGGAAGGTAAAGGAAGACTACGTGAGCGGTGGATGGCAACCTTACGGTAGTTGGGATACCGTTAGCATGTTAGCACCCCAAATAATACCGGAATATCTCTGGAACTATGTGTCCTTCAACAAGTCCTTATGCGGAAATCTTCCAAAATACATTTTTTGAAAGCCTCTGAAGCTTTCAGCCCATTTGGTGGAAAAATAAACAAGTTATTGCGCATTTGCACCAAATTAGACTGCCGCGCTAAAAAAATCCATCAGAAAACTTTTACTCAGACCAGTAAAAAAAATAAATGGACGATTTTGAATGTAAAAGAGCACTATATTTTACTATACAAGTTCATATGGTCGGTGTTAAGTCAGAAGGGACTAAGTAGCAAAATAAAAAAAATGAGTTAATTATATCATAAGATCAAGAATTCCGTCAGCTACATTTCACTTTTTCAGCCAGATTTGAAAAATTAGAGTAGCAAGAGAAAGCAAGAGAAAACTTTGACTATATGTTTTAGTATTACTTCTACGTGAAGTCAACGATTTAAATAGTTGAAGATGCTAATTTCAAATAACAGACTAGTGGTAATTTTTATACGATAGATGGAGTAGATGAAAGCATAGAGTTGATAGTTCCGTTAGAGTACGGCAGTGTGAAGATTGCATATAGATATTCGAATATAGCGAGCTAGGACAACTTTTAAGGAAGGTACAAATCGGTTTTTTGCCAGTGGTGGCGGGGGGACACACCCCTCACCATCCCTCTCCAAAGGGGGAGTTTGGTAAAGAGAGATGAAAAAACCGATTTGTACCTTCCTTAAAAGTTGTCCTAGCTCGCTATATTCTAATATCTATATGCAATCTTCACACTGCCGTACTCTAACGGAACTATCAACTCTATGCTTTCATCTACTCCATCTATCGTATAAAAATTACCACTACAGTCTGTTATTTGAAATTAGCATCTTCAACTAAGAGAAAACTGTCAAATGATTTGTCCCATTACATAAGACACAATATTGAACAGCCAACTTCGTTTTTCTCGAAATCAAAAAAAAAATGTCACAGTTCGGTCTGACTTGACTGATCATATGAACACGCTAGTAATGATAGAACTCTGAAGATTAATATTTGTATTTTGTCTGGCTTGAGTGAACACTATTTTAATGGATTATTTTCAACGTAGAAGTGTACTTTGCTACAAAAACGTTGATGGTGACTTCTCATAACATACACACAAGTCTACACTTAAAAATTAACCAAGTTTAACATGTTGTAAATTTGTTCTGTTATGATAAATTGAGCTGAAATTTTGACTAAAAACTTGCTTTTTTATTGACCTTTGTCCGATCAGCTATGCACAAATTTTAATTTTATAATCATCTTCCAGCAGGTGCTTCAAAAAATTTGGTATTTCTTACACGTGAAATTCAACATATTTGTAGTTTTTCGTCAAAATTTCAGCCCAATTGCTCATAACAGAACACATTTACAGCATGTTAAACTTAGCTAGTTTGTATGAAAACGACCTTTGTCCGATCAACTTTGCACCACAGTGTACGTAGGTACGAAATGCTGGATTAATGTTAAGGCAATACATTTAGGAAAAAGTTGTGTCATATCTGTATTAAGGATTGTTGCTAAGCTTCTTGCTTCAGGAATTGTATTGAATACCTGTCAATCAACAAAATTTACTACGGCAGCATCTGAATTCTTCAGATGTGTTAGTGCTCACAGGATAGTTCATACCAGCCACCATGATGCTGAATTGAAACAATCAATTTGCGACAACAGATTTCCAAAAAGTCCTAAATAGTGTTAGTACCGTGGACCCTCGGTGAAATTGAAAAAAGCATAT